TTGTCCATCTCTGTGGCCGCGCCAACCCAAGCGCGCGCAGCGGCCAGGTAGTTTGGCGCGACCGACGCGGCCGCGGTGGCGCTGACCGCTGGGCAGCCTACCTGGCACTTCACTGCGAGTCGGCGATTTGGGCGGGCGCGGTATCATGGCATCGTCGACAACGGTAGACATGATGATGATAGTAGTGATGCTGGTGACGATGTTGACAACGACGACGGCGCGGCCAATGCGGGCGCCGATGCTGATCACTCCGGCGACGATGACGGCGTCTTAGCGTCGGTGATGAAGGTTTCTGAAAAGTTCGACACGCGCACGCGGCCGACGCGCGAGAGTGGCCCGCATGGTTTTATGTGACACGAATCGTGCCCCTCCAGCACGCGCGCAAGGGCTTGCGAATGATGTCCGCATGCGGCGCCAGAGGCCCGCTTGGCATAATTTCATGAACATTTTGAAAAACACCAATGGTTTTGTCCCAAGAACGCGCAATAACGCGAGTTTTGAAAGCTGCTGTTGCGAAACCATGTTTTGTGTTGCATGTTTTTTAGGCACTCGGTTTTGGCATCGCTACGAAGCTGAAGGTTTTTTTTTGAAGGGTTTCGGCATGCGCGCGCGGCGACGCGCGCGTGTGCACTTTGTCCTTTTTTGCAAATTATTCTCGCGACGGCACTCGCGCAAGGACGCCCGAACGATTTTGGCATTCGCGCGCGAAAACCGTTTGGTGGCATTTTATGAACACGTTGAACAAACCTTAGTGCTTGTGTGTATATATGTATATGTATATATATATATGTATATATGTATATGTATATGTATATGTATATATATATATATATATATATATATAAAGCACGCAAGATCGCGCGCGCACGCTTCTTTTGAACATTTGTGTTGCGAAATCAGGTTTTTTGTTTTAAACAAATATTTTCGGACACTCGATATTGAAATCCTTACAAGACCGCGCGTTTATGAAAGATTCCGGCATGCGCGCGCGACGACGTGCGCGTGTGCATTTCGTCTCTTCTCTTGCAAGGGATCGTTTGAAAATTTATGGTTTTTGATCAACGAGTGTGCGCGCACAGGATTTGTTGCGGAGCTCTAGTCGGCGTAAGAAGAAAACAGCGTTTTCAGTGTGCTTTGCGGCAGCAGCCCATATGAGTATGCAAGCAGAAGCAAGCACAAACAATCTGATCGTTACCACAAATCCGGATGCTTCGTCCTTATTTGTTCATACAGTCTGTGTTGTGAGTAGGTGCGCCCGTAAAGACAGGATCCGATTGTGTGTGTGCGTGTGTGTGTGTGTATTGTAGCACTGTGTGTGTGATCACACCGTAATTTGTATCTGTGTGTGGCATCCACCATCATCGCGTTGAGCTATGTGGAGGTTGTCGCGGAACTAGGGTTCCTTCTATTGGGTTCAGGTCTCAGATTGGCCCGCATGGAGGATCGATCGAGCCGAACGTGGTAGATCCGGCAGTGAGTCTTGGTCCCTGCGGCACTCCTGTGGGGCTGACTACCGATCTCAATCATCATCGTGTATTGGAGTTGGCGTTTTGGAGGGAGTGCGCCGTTTTTGGTCAGCTCCGGGGCCTTGGAGGGGCCACATCTTTCCGTGTTCCTTCGTTTCATTCTTCTTAACGGCTTCGTCTTCGAGAACGCATTTTTGCGCGCACTTGGTTTGGCAGCGGCTCATGCTGGCCAAGATTGTGGATACCCGGCTCGGCGGTTCCTCAAGAAGCAGGCCTCGTCGTGGTAAGCTTGTGTTCCAGCCTCGGCTGATCGCTCTCCGCCGTAGATGCCCACAATAATCCAATCACAAGCTCCTGGCTTTGGCTGTTGTCTCTGCGATGAGTGCTTATACAGTTTGGTGGTAGCTGTCCATGGCGTCCCGCCCACAGGGCTCTAGCTTTGGTTCGTGGTTCTCCACGATGTTTGCCCACAGGGCCCCGGGTCATCATCTTGTCTGGCTGGTGACCTTGGTAGCTGCGCATGGGGTCCCACGCATGGGGTTCCGGCTTTGGCTGTTGGTCCTCCTCAGGAGGAGGAAGAGGAGGAGGAGGAGGAGGAGGAGGAGGAGGATGAGGAGGAGGGAGGAGGAGAGAGGAGGAGGAGGAGGAGGGATGTGGAGGAGGAGGAGGAGGAGGAGGAGGAGGAGGAGGAGGAGGGGAGGAGGAGGAGGAGGGAGGAGGAGGAGGAGGAGGAGGATGATGAGGAGGAGGAGGGGGAGAGGAGGAGGAGGAGGAGGAGGAGGAAGGAGGAGTAGGAGGAGGGGGATCGGAGGAGGAGGAGGAGGAGGAGGAGGAGGAGGAGAGGAGGGAGGATCAGGAGGAGGAGGAGGAGGAGGAGGAGGGGGAAGATGAGTGGTTGCCATTAGGTCCTCTCCCCGGGGTCTCTGCCTTCGTGGCATCCGCCGATCGGATCTCGGGTGGCCGCTCACTGGGGTCCTGGCCAGAGAGCCCTGGCCTCGGCTTCCCCTGTTCTGTTGGGCGTCGCGGTTGCCGGC